TCAGATAGTTGTGTACGGAAAAAAAAGTTTGGTTGAATTAACCAAATATCTGGTCGAATATGAATGATCCAGAAATTCCGATTGAAGTAACCTGAATTCTGTTTAAGTTAACCAAAAATTTTGTTAACTTAAACAGAATTCGGGTTACTTCAATCGGAATTTTTGGATCGTTCATATACGACCAGATATTTGATTAATTCAACCAAACCTTTTTTTCCGTGTGGTAACAAGATGATTGTAGTAATTAGAATACTTTGAAAGTTGTAGACTGGTTTTCTTTTTACTGCCTCTCCATACGTGTATTGAGAAAAAATACTTAGAAATATTTTTGTAATATTTCAAGAAATGGAAACTTTAATACTGTTGAAGGATTGCAAACAGTCCTTTCCTGCAAAGTTCCTTTCTTTCATCTGAAAAACATTTCAGATTATCAGAGATTATCAGATGTACATTCGATGAGAATATAAGAAGAATGTTGTTTCATCTTACACATTCGTACGGAAAACACGAATATTTGTGCATGAAACTGTCAAAAACAAAAGAATGAATTTTATCAAAATTACCTAATAAATTAGCATCTTATCGTAATGTCACCGTAAGTACTCGTCGCTTTGAATCTGACGGTAATTTTACATCTCTAATCACAAGAACTGTGGCAGCGAGAACTGTATAGATAGGCGTATAACAACAGCAACTTTCAGTACAACATCTGTTTAACTTGAAATCATATAAGTTTCCTTTCTGACTGTGGAGAATTGTGGATGTAGCAACCGCAACCAGTTCTCTCCGTGTTCTCATGTACAAATTAGTCGGAATAAGCGAGACTGCATTGCGGTAAGGAATACTTCGGCAACGAATTTTCCGCGCGAACGGATTTCCTCTCGCCTCGCGCGCAAACAAACGCACGCGCGATTATCTCACATCCGCCGGCGCGATCGTTACCTCGCCGTGCGTTATATTTAGTGGCACTTTCTTCGGGTGTTATCGCATGTAAATTCCGTACTTTGCATCTTTTTCACATGCGCGAGAGAAAACAAGCATGCTCACAACTTGCTGCGAGCCTCGCGCAGCTCGTAGCAGCGACGAGTCACGGCCTGCTCGTAGCTTACGGCCGGTCGATTATGGCCGAAATTAATGTGTCGATGTTTTGCCGGGAATTACTTAGCGCGCGAGCCAGTGAGAAACGCGCGAAATGTTATGCAAATGAATCGCGACTCGTCTGGCGACATTGTAGCGACGCGGCACGGCGCGCTCTCCGATGCTTTGAAATTACGATGTCGGCGCGATGGCAATTAGATCAGCCATCTTACGCGGCAGATAACGGCTAATGAAGCTTCTCGCGACTATGATCACGGACTCACTTATGTTCCATACACAAGCCTATTTATCTTCCGCAATATTGCATTTATCCGGCGAGGGTTTTTTTGTCTTTTTCTTTCTCCATCGTTGCGTGGCGTGACATTAAAGCTTGATCTACAATGTGCTCTTTGCATTCTGTTTCTTGTTTTCTATCTTTCTCTGGCTTACAGCTTAAGGTTTGAGTCAGAAAGAGATAAAGAGAAAAAAGCAGGAAGCGAAGAGCATATTGTAGATCAGGCTTAAGGGTTCAATACGAATATACGTATCGTCATCACACACGCAGTCTAACGTGCTGGATCAATCTGCTACATTCAAGCGCACTTAAACAAAGCTTATGATTACGTCAAATGTTTACCGCGAGTGAGATAAAGCGAGTGGTTCTGCGCGTTTTCGTGTCTATGACGACGTTACGTTGTTCGCCACCAACAACAAAATTGAAGTTATCCGAATAGAAAATGTAACTAGCTGATAGAGTGAATAGAAAATATAAATAGCACATATAAATTCAGAAGGTAGCCAATTGTTGCAAGATGTCGATTCATTCTTCGGTTACAAATTTCTCTATAATAATTTTCATTATAAACTTGTCTCTGTACGATTAGAAAATATTAGCTATCTAATTATACTGCACGTGTTAATGCTATTATACATATATGTCGATTTATGTGTATGTCTACGAATTTTCACATGCTTTCCTCCTTCATATAAAATCTGTTTTGGAAAAACTATAATTTCGGATGGAACTTAATTCATAATTTGATGTGCCGTGTAATGCAAAAAAGTTCTCAAAAGTGTCTTCTATTATGCGCAATAAAAGTCAGTCGCGAATTATAAACTGTTGAAACTGAGTTTCACTGAGTTTCCTTCTTTTCGTCTTCTTTTCTTTCTTGTATCAAAATATGACGAAAGGGATCTAAGAAAAAGTCGATCAAGTTTCTACTAGTAATTGGACGAGTAAACGATCCAACAGATAACTTCTTTCTCTCTCTTGCTCTCGCGAATTCCGTATTTGTTATATTAAATGCATTGCGTGAGATATTATCGCGTGATTTCTGACATTTCTCCCTTGCGTTTTGTACATTTTCGTGCATTCATTGTGGAGCACAGGAAGTGCCCGTCGCGTCGGGCAAAATCAGAGCGTGTACGCACGTTGCACTGTTGGATTTTCCTTTCTTTTTTTCGACATGATGTTCGATCGATTGGACACGCCCAGGCGGCCATTCCTGCGACGGTTCCTACCAAATTTGTAATTAATTAATGCCACATTTCCCCCGGCTTCGTCGGTGAAAGCGAACTCGGGCTCAACGTTTGGTGGGCTTGTACACGTCGAGCGTTGTTCGCGTGATTTATCCTTTTCGCAAACACGCGGCACACATATATACACGCACATAAAAACACCTGCGAATACCAAGAGTAATCCCGAGCGGATGGGTGTAAATTAAATTTTAATTAGGTGCAGTGTCCTGAAGTAATCGAGCCGAAAAGATCGGGGCGACGTGTGCGTCGTTGCGGTTTCACATGCTCGTTATAATACGCAGCGTGCTTTATTACTTTTCCGCGTCGTGCTTTCTGTAACTAACGCGTGCCCACCAGCAGCACTTCCTCATTACTATTGCACATTTTACGGAGATCGCTCGGATGATGTAATGTGCACTTCATAATCTCACGGAGCGCGACGCGGCTTAATTAGCGATTTCAAATTTCTGTCTTATAAACACTCCAATTGTCTCGTTATATAATAATGATTTAAGATTGTTTGAGAATCACACGAGAAATTTTGTAATTTTGAACAATATACATTGAAGTCTCGAAATATGTTGAAAATCTTGAGTATCCTGAAGAGCTACTAATTTATTCTATTAATTAATTAATTAATTAATTGCTACGGAAGCAATGTTCTTTGCTCATTGAGACAAAGGTTATTGAAAATATATTTGTAGAATATAAAGTATATTCACAGAAATAAACTTTGTCTCTCACAAATACATTTTTAAGTATTTTTTTGTGTAATATACATGATATGGAACGAAAAGTAATTTGTACAAATATCAAATTAGACAGTTATAGAATTGAACGAATGAATTAGATAGTTAAAGAATTAAAAGATATAATAGGTATAACGTAAGTAGTTAAAGCAGTTGTGAATCTGTGGTGTAGAACTTTATTGCGGAAATATATATTAAATTACACAACAGTTGAGAGAGAGTACAGATTTTTAAACATAAATTAAGGATATTAAACATACAGATGTTTTATGCGATAACAGTCGACTCCACAAGTTGCTACACGAATGTTTAGGATTTTCAAGATATTTACACACACGAGGATGTCTTTCGCGAATTTTTTTCGAATGATATTCTCAAAGTAATTGCAGACTCTTATCGCGATTAAAGTGATTCGAGACGCTTTGATCATACAACGAGAGTCCGTAATTACTTTGAATGTTGCTACTTGCATTTATCGCTATTTGGAGTATCGCTTTGCATTTTATTCCTAGTATTCTGGCTTAAATCGTGCGATCAGACACAAAAAAACATTCTTAATGTCATAACAGAAATGACATTCTTGTTTGGAAAATATCCTTATTTTTTGACATGTTGATTTTCGAATGAGATTGCATGGCATCAAACAAAGATAAGTTACTTACATCATCAATACATTTCAATTCAACATAATTATTTAAATTTAAGAGGATAAAATTCTTTTAACAAAATTGTATAGCGTTGCTTATATATGAAACAATGATTGTTTCATATATGAAACACAATGATTGTTTATTTGAATATATTAATTGTGAGTGGATAGGGAAGTAATCTAGGGTGCAACACACATTTAAAAACATCATTTTCTCAATCCAATATTTTGTACTTTCCATTAATGAAAATTATTTTTAAATAATAGACCATAGATTCTTCTTCTCTCGTCGAAAAAATCGTACAAAATATATTATTACAAGTAACTTATCTTTGTTTAATGCTATGTAATCTCATGTAAGTATTAACAATATTTTTAATATTTAACTTAGTTAAATATAACTTAGTTAATAATAACTTAGTTAATAGTAACTTACATGAATTTATTCCCGTAAGCCTGTTACGTTACTTATTATGTTATCTTAACTTATTTTGTAGAAATAACCGTGTAAGAGTTATAACGAACATTATAACTAGTTTATTCATGCGCGTACAAGCAAATGTAGCATCTTAATGAGTTGACGATTCAATAAATTAGAAATCTTAATCTATTTGATAAGAATAATGAGGGGGTGAGAGGGAGAGAGAGAGAGAGAGAGAGAGAGAGAGAGAGAGAGAGAGAGAGAGAGAGAGAGAGAGA